TATTAGAAAACCAAATATAAGTTCAACAGATAACATTGCTGATAAAACCGATATGTTATCAGCCTCATCTTTAACCATTGATGATGATAATAATACAACTACAAACTCTACCCAAATAGTACTACTAGAATCACCAACGTCCTCTTCCTCAGGTTCATCAATAGAATCTTCTGTATATCAACCAATTATAAAAGATATTAACCAATCTATTAACCCATCATTAAAACTATCAACAGATCAACTATTTAAACCAGAGGCATTATTATCAAATCTTGATATAAACAATATGGACAATATAAATAATAATAATAATAATAATAATAATAATAATAATAATAATAATAATAATAATAATAATAATAATAATAATAATATAATGAATGAAGAAATAAACGACAATAATAATAATAATATAAACAACTGCAACTTTAATAACACCACAAATACATCAATAAATAATAATATCCCAGATGAAATGCTATCCGCACTTGATATAGAACAAGCTATAATTATAAATAATAATTTAAATAAAACACTATCACCCTTGTATAGCTCAATAGGTCCAGATGTTAGGGATTGTGTTAATGGATTTCCATTGAAAATTAGTCATTTAAAGATTAAAGAATTTCAGTGGTTAAAGCAAATTAAAAACTTTACACTGGATAATACAGTCACACCAGATACCAGTAAATTGGTACGTTCAGGAATCCCAAGAAGAATTCGTGGCTATGTTTGGAGATTCTTTTCAGGTGCCATAGAATTAGAACGTAAGAATATTGGTGTCTATCAGCATTTCCTAAGTAAAAGCTCAGAAGAATATGAATATAAAATTACAAAAGACATTGGTAGAACATTCCCAAATAATCCAGATTTCAATAGCGAAGGCCACAACTCACTCTTTAGAATATTGAAAGCCTATGCAATTATGGACCCAGAGATTGGATACACTCAAGGTATGAGTTTTATTGTTGCAATTCTATTAAGCGAAATGGATGAAGTCGAAACATTCTGGGCATTTACAAGTATTATGAAAAACTACAAACTGTCATCACTTTATTGTAACGATTTAAGCTTATTAAGACAATATTTATATGTTATAGATAGATTAATCGAAACTACAAATCCAAAATTATTTTCACATTTAGTATGATATCATTTTAAATTTCTTTAAAATTAACAATAATAATAATAATAATACTAATACCATTTTTTTATTTATTTAATAGAAAGAAATTGGTGTTACACCAGTTTTATTTGCATCAGAATGGATATCTACCTTATTTACGTATAATTTCGATTTTAAAATTAGCAAAAGATTATTAGATGTATTTTTCATTGAAGGCAGATTTTATCTTCATAAAATGGCAATTGCTGTTCTTAAAACTTACGAAAAACAATTACTCAACTTCCCATTTGAAGAAGCTGTTGAGTTTTTAAAGAAACTTGGGACTCAAATTGAACCCGATGCCCTATTAAAAACTGCAGATTCTTTACCAATTACAGAGTATGTATTTTAAATTATTTTATTATTATATTTTGTTAAATACTAATTTCTTTTTCGTTTTTTTTTCTCTTATAGAAAAATGATCATGGATTTTGAAGAGGAATTTGTTCACCCAAATGCTCCAAGTGATTATTTTTAAATAATAAAACTTAATAATAACAATAAAATAATAACATTAATATGAATAATAACAATAATATAATAAATAATAATAGATAGATAATAATATACATAAAATAGTATTTATAAAATAATTCAATTTAAAAATAATTAACTTTATAATAAACTTTAAAGTCCTTATGAATATATAAATATATTCACATATGCAAACACTTTTTAATAAAAAATATTAGTTTGTATATATTTAATTAATATATATAAAAAATATTTAAATTATTAAAAAGTGATACTCTTTAACAAAAAAAAAAAAAAAAAAAAAAAAGTTTTCTTTTTATTTTTAATATTTATTTATTTGCTTCTTTTTTATTATTTAATTTTGTTTTTTTTGGGTTATTTTGAAACACTTGATTTTTAAATAGGAACATAATTGTTGAATAGTATCCTTAACAAATAATGAATAATGAACCAACGAAAAAGTTGCAAATATGATCATTAAAATGTATTCTGAGAATATAACTTCACCCCTATAATAATTTAAAACTGAAACAAAAGTTGCTAATAATAATGGAATCAATGGTGCTTGAATTATATTATATTTTTCATGGCACATATGAGCTAAAATTAAACGACTCTGTATAAAAATAAGAAGGAATAAATTAAAACCAGGTCAATTATTATTGTTATTACTATAATTATAATTATTATTATACTTACAACTAATTCACCAAAAATGAAACCGATTGAAAATAATATAGTTCTAATATTTGTAAACCAAATTGAATTTTCATTTAAAAGTAAGGTTGAAGTGTAATACCAAATGAATGAACAACCAGTAATAATAATCCAAACTAAAATTTGAGAAAGAGCTGGTAAAACTGGTTTATTTTTTGATTGAAGATGATGTACAACATGTTTAATATTGAAATAGCATGTTATAATGGTTGGAAATGCTAATGATGAAATGACGATTTCGTTCAATCTTAATCCAGAGATGATTTGTGGTAAGAAATTGAATGACTCTAAAGGACGAATAACCCAAAATGAACTGCCTAAAAAACCGGTGGCTAATAATGTGATAACTATAATTACAATACCTTCATCTGGACCGTTGATTGGACCTAAATGTAATGTGCCAGTGTGATACTCTTCCCATGTTGCCATCCAAAATGGTAATAATGCGATAGTAAATGTTTGAACCAATGGCATAATACCCAACTCGTAATTCAATACACTTGCTACGATCAATGATTGTAATGTGCATACAATTGAATCACATCCATGATCGAATAATTGTCCCAATGGTGAGCTTGATCCTGTTCTTCTAGCTTGTTTACCATCAAGGTTATCCATAGTTTGATAGAAAAATAATGATAAACCGCTTAATATATATACCCATGTTGGTAACTCACCATCTAATTTTGGTGAATAATATCCAACTATAAAAAATGATATTAAAATTGTAATAGTACCTGTTAAGGTAATCTAAAATAAAAAAAACAATAAATATTTCAATATTAGTATTATTATAATTATTATTATTTTTAAAATGCCATTGATTTTAAAACAATCGATTACTTACTAAATTTGGTGCTATTGAAAGTGGAACAAATCTTAAACAAAAATTCCAATATTTTTGTAATATTAATTTTGCTAAAATCGAGTCATCAATACCTGAATATTTATGTTTTGCAACGTTTTCTAAAGCACTTTTAGATAAACGATTCATTTTTTTTCTTTTATTTTTTTCGCGTTTTATAATATATTATATAATATTATATGATGAACTAAATTTATTACAAAAAAAAATTATAAATTAAAAAATAAAAAAATAAAAAATTTTAATTTTTAAATTATAATTGGACAAGTGTGTATAAATGTGGTTTTTTTGTTTGAATTTGATGAATATTATTACTGTATCATATGCATCCAAATTACACTTTACAAAATTTCGTTTGTGAAATTATTTTTAAAAAAAAAAAAATAAAAAAAAATTATAAAATTTTATAAATTTATAAAAAAATTATAAAAAAAATTTAAAAAAAAAAAAAAAAAAAAAAAAAAATATCTGAATACATTTTGTTATTTGTTTTATATTTTAACTTTTATTATTATTTTTAAATAAATACATTATTTCCTTTTCTTTTTTTTATTATTGGAATATTAATTAGTTAGTCCATTATATTTTATTATTTATTTCACCAAAATTAATTTATTTGAAAACCTTTAAAACACATAAAGGTAAAAAATTAAAAAAAAATAAAAAAAATAATAAAAAAAAAAAGTAAAAAAATAAAAAATAAAAAAAATAAAAATTTTTTTAAAAAAATAAGACATGAGTAAATCCATTTGCATTATAATTTTATTTTGACACATTAAAAACAACATTTAATCACATATTTTTGTTTTTTTTCTTTATTTATTTTTTTTTATTACCATTGGATAAAACAAATAAATAGTAAAAAAAAATATATCAAAACACACACACACATACCATACATACATACACATAAAACAATTCACACACTTTCGCTCAAAAAAAAAAAAAAAAAAAAAAAAGGATAAATAAGATAAAACAATATTTTTAATTATTATAATTGGTATACTTTTATACCAAATAAACTAATAGATAAAATTAAAAAGAAAATAAATTATATTTGTTTTAATTAAAATATCAATCAAAAAATTCTTATCCCTTTTCTATTTTAAATAAAATTTTTTATTTTTTTTTTTTGTTTTTTTTATTTTTTTTTCAAAATTTAAATTTAAATTTAATTTTTTTTTCTTATTCATTCTTCAGTATTATTTATTCACACACTCCAATTTTTTATTTATTTATTTCTTTTTCATTACCATTGTTTAATTGTTTATTGTTATTAGCATTATAGTATTATAAATATATTTATTATATATTATTATTATTATAATATATTATTTACTTTTGTGGTAATTTAAAATAGTAGTAGTGTGAGAGGGTTAACATTTTTCTCAACATACAAAATCCCACACCAGTTATTCATTTAAAATTAATATTTATTTAATTTAAAATAATATTAATATTTTTTTTTAAATTATTTTTTATTTTTTTTTTTCTTATGTGTTTTTCAATAGCAATTATAATTACAAAACTTAATAATAACTTAAATACCACACACAAACTCACATTCAAACACACAAGAATATTATTACATATTAAATAATAGCTCATATAATAATTATATTTAAAAACAACATATGTATCATATTCGTATTTTATATATATAAGAATTTTGTAAAATTTTTTTTAAAATAGTAATTAACTTTTGTACATTAGAAAATCATATTATTAAAAAAAATATATTAATAATAGTAATAAAAATAATAATCAAAGAATTTTAAACATTAATAATAAAATTAAAAATTTCATTTGTATAAATATTATAACATTTAAATAATATAAACTATAATTTATGGAAATGGAACCAAATATATATACAACTGACACAAGTAACGAAAATGGTACAGCAAGCTTTTCTTCTGGGACAACACAAGTTAGTTTTGAAGTAAATTGTTATCAAGACACACCTAAAAATTTAACACCAAACTTAAACTCACTAAAAATGAATAATAATAATAATAATAGCAATAGTAATATTAATAGTAATAGCCTCGCACCTCAATCAATTTACACATCACCAACTAAAAGAGGGAGTATACCTTCATTATCTCCAATTGCAAATTCAGAAGAAAGAGGTTTTGGTCATCACCGAAGAACTCATAGTAATACAACATACCCAGGTTCAAATAGTAATGAAAATATAAGTGGTTTATCAAAAAGCAACAATAATAACAATTTAAACGATAATCAACAAAAAGATATATGCGATGATTTAAAACTAAAAAATTTAAATATAAATGGAGATCCAAATAATAATAATACTAATGATAATATTAAATCTACAACAACAACAAACAACAGACCAAAAACACCAGAATCACCAGAACCACCTAAAAGTCAAGAAGATGAACATTCAGAAAATGAAAAAGATTCAGATGTTGAAGAATTTGTTATCATTCAAGAGTTTCATCAACAAGACTATCCAATTTTATATGATAGATTTGGTTTTTTAGTTGACCAAGATCAAATTCAAAATTATTTAATATACAAAGATAAATTTCATAGGGAAGAGCAAGTAAGAAGAGATCAGTGGAATGCATTTTTAGAAAAAAATCCAACTGCATTACAAAATTTAGTAGTTAAACAACCTCATTATATAGATTCAAGTTATCCAGTAGCACAAATATCAGGAAGTACAGGAATTAAAAGTTACAGACAGAAAATTCCCAAACTCTTTAAAGAGCTAATTAGGGGTGGTATTCCCGAAGAATATAGGTCTATAGTTTGGTTTAGAGCAAGTGGAGGATATGCCAGACTTTCAGAAAATCCAGATGAATACGATAGAATTTTAAGAGAACATAAAGGCCAGAAATCAATCAGTGTAAAACAAATTATGATGGATGTTGATCGTACTTTTCCTGATCACAAGTTTTTAAACACAAAAGAGAAAATGGAAAGCTTAACCAATGTTCTAGTAGCATATTCTTGGAGAAATCGTATGTATCAAATTTAGTAATGATCAAGAAAAATATAATTTAAATATTTACCATAATTTTTTTTTTCTTTCTTTAATTAGCAAATGTTGGTTATTGTCAGTGTATGAATTTTATAGCGGGATTTTTATTAATATTTATGAGCGAGCCCGAAGCTTACTGGACCTTGGTCTCAATTGTTGAAGAGTTGTTACCTACCGAATATTTTACAACCACTATGATGGACTCATCCGTTGACGTTAGATTTGTTTTTGACGATTTACTCCAAAAGAAAATTCCAAGATTGCATACACATTTAACCTCCCACAATTTAACCCTACCATTAATTATCACACAATGGTTCCTTTGTATAATGGCAACTACAACTCCTACCGAAACCTGTTTTAGAATTTGGGATGTATTTTTTAGTGAAGGTTCAAAAGTTTTATTCAGAGTAGCACTATCATTCTTTAAACTAAGTGAAGAAAAAATAATATCATGTTCAGACTATGGCACTCTTTATAATTTAATCAAGGTAAATATTTAAATAGTTTTGGTAAATTTAATAATTTTATATATACTAATGCAACTTTTATTATTAGAAAATACCAAGTGTAATGTATGATGCAGATTTATTGCTAGATGTTAGTTTCAATAGATTAGGCTCCTTCCCAATGAAATCAATTATTCAAAAAAGAAAAGATAGTAAACATATTGTTGTTAACGAATATTTGGAATTTCAAAAACAGAAAAATGGAAAATAAAGCTATATTGTTTTAGAATATAAAATAATAATAACAAATTAATTTAAATTTTTATTTATATAATAAAAAATTGTTTTATTTTATATTTTATTTTATTTTTGATATATAAAATCTATTAAAACGAGATTTTAAAAAACTATTATTTTTTATTATCTGTTATATATATTTGATTCTTTTTTTTCTTTGTATAATTAATTTTTGTAAAAATAATAAATTCAGGTTGAAAATAATTATTGTTGCTATTCGAAAAAAAATAAAAATAATAAATAATTGGTATAGTTTTTTATTTAGCCCCTGGAGAATCTTAATAATGAAATAAGTGCTTTTTCGAATTCATAATCAACCTTTGTAAAGTGATTACTATAATTATTATATTCGACATATTTTGAAAGAGCCCTAAAATAATAAAAAAGAAATTAGTATTAAAATAAAATAAATATAAAATATAATTTAAAATCAAAATACTTTTCCATCTGTTCTCTAATTGATAGTAAAAGATGACAAGAATTTGTTGGTACATAAAATTTAATTGGAGTACCATGAATTGCAATGGTTGAATAGTCTTGGGAGGTTTGTGTAAAAATAGGAGTTGAACCAAATAATAATAAAGAGATTTCTGGGATTCTAGAAATAGTTTTAATAAAGGTTAACTTGGTTTTGAATTTCTCTTCAAAGATTACCCAATTATCTTTTGAATTTAACTCTTGGAAGAGATTATAAACAATTGAAGATGGATGTAAAAATGTATTTTCTGAAAGAGTTTTGAACTCTCTTTTCTTTCTTTGCTTTGCAACATTTGGGAATAAACCTGAGCAAATGATGGATCTGATAATATCGAAATTTCTACTATTGGCATTAAAGAAATCGTCGAGAACAAAACCATTTGAAAGGGATTGGATATTAACAATGCCCAATTCATAAATGGTAGCTAAAAGTTGTTTTTTTACTTTGAGAATTTGGTTAAGTAATGGGATTGAAAGGAAATCTCTGCAGTATTCCTCCTCTCTGCCTTCAAGTTTAGATTGTAGCCAGTTGTTGAAAATATTTAAGAATGAAATGTGGTCACTTTGATGCTCTGGATAAAGTTGGGATGAGAAATTATTTTGATAACTATTATCTTGATTGAATAAATTTAAAATTGGATTCTTTTGATTAGAGAACGATGCAATGGTGAGAATAGGGTCAAGACATCTAAAGAAACTACTAAGGATAATCATTTTACCGATTCTTGGATCAACTGGAATGAATGAAAGTCTTAAACCCAATGGAGTTAAATCTTGTTGGCTTGAAAGTGCACCTAAATCTATTAAAAGATTAATAGCATTATCGATCGCTTTTGCTTCGGGTGGTTCGAGTGCATCTGATAAAAACTCACCAATACTACCCAAAACCAAAACTTTAACTTGAAGGCAAAGTTCGTGCAATGGCATACGACGCATTTCAGGCAATTGGAAGTCATCTAATGAATTATAACGATCTCTTGAAACCAAATGATAGCAAACACCATCTTTTCTAACACGACCTGCTCTACCTCTTCTTTGTTTCAAAGAAGATTTACATGCCCAAACCGTTTGGAACAAAGTTAAATCTCTTTGTGTTTCATGATACTTCAATTTCACTTTGGCTGAATCAATAACGTAAACCACATCATTAATTGTAATTGAAGTTTCTGCAATGTTTGTTGACAAAACAATCTTTCTAACTTTTGGTGGAGGCCTATCGAATACTTTAGCTTGTTGTTGCATAGAAACACTAGAGTGAAGTGCCAATACTAAAAATTGATTTTCATTTTTGAATAATGGATGTCCTCTTATTAATTCTCTTGTTCTAAAAATTTATAAAAAACAATAATATTAGTACACTAACTATTAAAACAAGATAAACTTAATTATTAATGAACTACATACTGTGAAATATCTTCCCAACCTGGTAAAAATACTAAAATTGAATCTTCGGTACTATTTGAAACCTTTGTAACAATATGGGTCATAATTTGAAGAATTAATGCATGATCTACATCATCAGATTGTTCATCCTTGTAAACGATAGATTGATCATTTAATTGTTTTGAAATATCTTCAAGGAAATATTCCCTTGCAACATGGCTATATGACGAAACATTGAATACTGGGCAATCATTAAAATATCTTGAAACCGAGCTATTGTCAATGGTGGCACTCATTAAAATTACTCTTAAATTGATATTATCCTCTAATAATTTTTTTAAAATAATTAAAAGGAAATCGCTAAATGAAAAATAAAATTTAAAAATTAGTAACAACCTTTTTTTTAATTTTGGAATTAGAAAGCTATTTAAATATAAACACATACGTATGAATATCTCTTTCGTGAACTTCATCAATGAATAAATGACTAACATTATGTAATTTCTTATCTGAATACATTCTCTTTAAAAGGATACCTGGTGTACAAACTAAAAGTTTAGAGGTACCAGTTGGTTGTTGATTTTCGAATCTTATTTGATAACCAATAGTATCACCAACCTTTTCAAGTCTTTCATATGCCATTCTTTCCGCTGCACCAAGTACAGAAATTCTTCTTGGTTGAGTCATAATAATATTACAATATGGAGCCTAAATAATTTAAAAATAAAAAAAAAAAAACCATATTAACTATAATGTGATTATTGCATTTAAATATCTAAAATAATAATAATTACATGATTAGACTCTATCATATCCTCAATAACATATTGTGGAATTTGAGTTGTTTTACCACAACCAGTATCACCCATAATAATAATAATTTGATTATTTTTGATACAATCGATTAAATGTCTTCTTTGTTTAAAAATTGGTAATTCGGTTCTCTTTTGATAAACTCTTTGATATTCTGCTGTATTTTTCTTTCTTTCTTCAAATATCTTCTTTTCGATACCAATTTCTGAAATTTCCTCTTGTGATTTGCAATCCAAAATTGACATTTGAGGTTCATAAGTTTGAATCTTTTTATTGAGAATGATGCTTTGTTTTGGTGTAAAATTTTTATTTTGATCTATAATATAATCTAAAGAGAATTGTGATTGTTCTATTAAATCCTGTGGTATATCATAATTAATTTTGAACTATAAAAATAAAATATTAATAATCTGTTATTATTATTAAAATTGGTTAAATTTATTTTTTACTTACAAATTCATCACTTGATGTAGAGGATTTTGGTACTTTATATTCTGGTTGAACCAATTCATTTTCTAATAAATATTCACATGCATCAACAGCAGCTAAATTTTCTGATAATTTTTTATTATCCGATTCAGTTCTAGTAATTTTTTGTAATGTATTTTCGATTGGTAAATACATTTCAACAATAAATATCTTTGATTTCAAACCTCTTGGTACTTCGTGAGTTCTATAAATTTTATTCTCTGGAAAACTAAATTGTTTGGCATATTGTTCGATCTTTCTTTTTGCTGCATCAAATTTCCAACTCATACCTGAAGGTCCTAAAATACCATCTAATGAAAAAATATATTAGTATAAAAACTATAATGCTATGAAATGATATTTGATTACTTACTGATGCCACCATTACTGTGAATTAATAAACAACAATTTTCAAACTCCAAAGAACTACATCTAATACTTTTTTGGGAAATAATTTTTTTAGATTCATTCATTTGATAGTCGGATAAATTGTCTGGTGTAACTTCATTTTCTGGTGCTGAAGTTGTTGAAGCAACTGAACCCTTTGTGGCTGAGAGGTTGATTAAACCCATGTCACTTAATACTTTACAAGCCTTCTCTGCACATTGAGTCTTTGAGTCATTTTTAGTGGGACCTTTACCAATAATTCTCATTGGCTCTTTACCAAAATTTGGTGGAAATGGTAATTCAAAAATAGTTTCGAATGTTTGATTGGGTGGTTGGCCTTGAGATGATGATGAAATATATTGATTATTTGGTCTTTTACCTAATTTTATCATATACTGATTTAAAAAACCTTTCGAGTTTTCAGTATTGAAGGGTGACGATGACGATGATGATGATGAATTTGTATTTGTTGATGACGAAAATGTTGATGAAAACTGTGATGAATAATTATTACCGCTGTCATATGTTGGTGAATAATTATTATTATTATTTATATTATTATTATTATTATTATTACTATTATTTATATTATTGTTAATTGGTGAATCATATCCACCACCATATTGTCCACCTCCAGCTATATTATTGTATCTCATTATTGGAGATTGAATAGTATTATTATTTGACATAAGATTATTATTATTATTATTATTACTATTACTATTACTATTACTATTATTATTATTATTAATATTATTATTATTATTATTATTATTTAAATTATTATTTGAATTATATTGTTGGCCTAATCTATCATAACTACTTAAATAGTCATCATTTTGTCTATTATTATTTTGCATTTGAAATGGATTTCCTGAATATGTCGGAGTAGAGTCATAATGTGAACTGCTAGTAGGTATATTTGATAAAGCTGGTTGTTGTTGTAAAAAATGTGGTGATGTTTGAAATGATTGTTGCTGTTGTTGCTGTTGTTGTTGTTGATTATACATTTGATTTGATTGTTGGTTACTCGTGTAAACCTTATTACCACCTCTATTTAAATATACATTATTGTTTATATTATTATTATTCATATTATTATTCATATTCATATTATTATTATTATTCATGTTATTCATATTATTGTTATTATTATTATTCATATTCATATTATTATTATTCATATTATTATTATTATTATTATTATTATTATAACCTCTATTCCCAAATGGACCATTATTCCCTCTATTCATATTAAATGCACTATTATTATATCCACCTGCATCGCCATAGTTATTATATCTTCCACCTCCGCCATTGTTGCCACCTCTATTATTATTTTGATAACTCATTGTTCTTATCCTTTTATTGTTATTGTTATTGTTATTATTGTTATTATTGTTTATGTTGTTATAATTATTGCTGTTGTTATTATTATTAGAAAGGTCCTCTGAACTATAATTGTAATTACTGTTGTTTTGGTGCGAGTAATTATAATTATTTGAATCGTTTGTGTCAAAGATATTCTGACCTAGTTCTTTTTGTTGTTGGCTTTCTAGTTGTTGAAAAGAAAATCTATCTGTTTTCCCTATCTTCGGTAAGTATATAATATAAAAATATTATATTTATAACGAAAAAAAAAAAAAAAAAGTAAAGGAAAAGTAAAAAGGAAAATAATAAAATATTCTATTAAATTATATTATTATATAAAGTATATATAACACTAAACCAAAAAAAAAAAAAAAACGAATTTAGAGATATAAACTAAAATAGAAAAATAATGAAAAATAATTTAACTTTTGAAAAAATAAAAAAAAATAAAAAAAATATTTAAAGACAAAAAAATTTTAAAAAAATTTCAAAAAAAAAATAAAAAAAAAAATAAAAAAAATAAAAAAATAATTTATATAAATCTTTATTATTCAAAAAAAAAAAAAATACTTGAATTCTATTACTATAATTATTACTATTATTATATTACTGTTATTAATATATTCTATAACGATTGTTTTTATTATTATTATTATTATTACTATTATTATTATTTTGAATCAAAAAATTACGAAAAATATAACTAAGTTAGATATAAATATATTTATTAACACACATATAACAAATTAAATAAATAAAAAATAAATAAAATAAAAAATATTTTAAATTTAAAAAAAAAAAAATCACACAAACATCTATTCTATGCATATCTTCTTCAAAATATAGAGATTATAAAATTATATTATTTTAAAATAATTTTTTAAATTATAATAATAGAGAAAAATGGAAATGGTAATATGAATTACTATTTTATAATATATTTGTTATAAAAAGTAGAAATAATATCATCACTTTAACAAATAAAATATAATCAGATATTAAATTTAAACATTGATTTAAAATGTTAGGTGTTCAAAAAAAATAAATTAATTTATAAAAACTAAAAAATAAAAAGTAAATTTAATTAAAATTATATCAATTCAAAAATTACATACTTCTAAAGTGGGTGTATAAAACAAATATATAAA